ATTTTATCACTACATAACCCAAATTAAACAGAGAACATTTACTGTAATGAGAAGGTTCCATGGAGGTATTCCAACTCATGGGTAGAACTCCCACCACCAGAGCAGATGAAGAGGCAGTTAAATTACTGGAAACAGTAGGTCTAGTTTCACTAACTTTACATTGCAATGAATGCAGATCAGTTAATAAAAGACGTTTTCATACAGGAACAAGTTAAGGCAACATTTTTCCATACAAAAAAAACCCCATGATCATTCCTTTTATGAGAGCAGAAGTAAGAGGGGAAGACAACTAAGTTAGAGCAGAAAAAAGACATTTGTGATACACAAAGCCCAGCTTCTGTAAAGCTACTGCTCAGCACCTCAAACAGTCAATATCACTGCACTTGTAAGAATTCTTACACAGATTCTTCATCAGGTAATTCCAACTATATCCAACCAGAATGCAGGTCTTGGTATCAAAGTCCACTGTCAAGGATAACAGTGCAAAGGAAGCACTGATGCCTAGTTCTAGACTCCAAATTACTAGGTTCTGAAAGAAATAAGGAAAATAATAAATATTTGGAGTTTATCGTAACAACAAAATGTCAGGACTTACACCAAAATGATTTACTCACTTCTTCCCTCTCACTTGTTTGCAATGTTTAAGCTGTAATTCTTCAATAATGCATTTCAGAAGACAGTAAATGCTTCACAACTCTTAAATAAACCATAAACAGGTAAATAGCACCTGTTCTGGAGGACAAAGGCCTGTTGCTAAAGCACTAGACTTCAAGTTTCTAATGGCTTATGACAGCAATAACAAGGCAAACAAAATAAATAATAAAAATGAAATAGTGAAAGATACCTTGACAGTGTCCTTTTAATTTTCAGCCAACTTGAGATGTCATGTAAGCACTGAAGCAGCAAAGAGGTGATACTGCTTAGACAGCAAAATCTCAATTCCTCCCTGACCTACAAATCAGAAGCTAATAGATTAGTGGTGCACTGGTGTATATCTGCACAGTATCTCATGGAAACCCTGTCGCAGCTTCTGAAACAAAATGCATGTGCTCTGAGATGCAGAAAAAGCATAACTATAAATAACATCAACTGAAGCATGCACAGAAGATTTTGACAGCCCAGTCAAGGACCTTATGGAACAAAAATCCCAAATTGTCTAAGAAAGCCATCACATCTGAAGAAATGAAGCATACTGCATGTAGCTGAGGAACAGAAAAGTCTTCCCAGTGCAATATAAACTGGAAAGAGAGACAGAGGCACAATCCTGCCCTTGTGCTGTCAATGGATCTCAGCACCTTGTGACACTGCCAGCAGCATCACCACTACCCAAGTGGTGGATGAGAATTAGAATTACTTTCTTGGACCACTACTTAGTCTGGAATCTGTGATCTAAATATTACAGTTTTACTCTTTTTAAATATACAGTCTAAATATATATTTGACTACAGTAAAAAAGCACTCAACTTATCTCACCGTAATTAACATCAGTTGATTATAAGGCATTAAGTCTTGCAGAATCAGACCAAGATACCTTTCACAGAGATGTTTACTTAGATGGAACAAAAACCATGTAATTACAAAGCAAAATATATAAAAATGTGTGTATATATATACACACATATATATATATATATATATGCAGTGCCAATTTTTACAGATTTTGATAAAGTAACCTGTTAAAAAAATGAAGCCAGTCACTTCAAGGGTATAATACTATCTTAGTTAAGATTAATTATTTTCAGAAAGGCACATTAGTTCCAACAATAGTAAGCTCCCATTTTCTTACAATACTGTAAGAAAATATATATTCTTTGTAGGAATGAGGAGTAACTAGAGCTTCATTAATTAAACTCTACAAAAGGTTAAAATATTTTAAAATGCCACCCATATATACATTCCTACTGGGTATCTTACACATTTTTTATCCATAATATTAGATGATATTCCAAGAAAACCATTTATTTTGGTGGGTCAAAATGCCAGACTACCGTGAAACAGTGGCAATCAATGAGTCTCATCAGGACTCCAAAATATTATTTTGTTTGATCACTGTAAATAAATTAATGATGAGTAATAGATGCTGTCCACTTACTACTAAATGATTAGCCATTCACAGACAACACAGCAAATGCTACTCGAAATTGTGAATGCCAGAGGGTTGACTGTCAGGCTTTCAAAAGATTGGGTATTACTAAATTAAGCTATCTGTTCTTAGAATGTTGCACAAAAACAGCCACAAAAATAACTGGATTCACTAGAATTAGCTATTTNTAAAACAAATGTGACCCAAGCTAACAGAGAAAATGTAGACCTCTAGAACCTCAGCAGACTGCACCAGAAGTAGCTTTTCAGTTTGTTTTGGATGGCCTGTGAAATGCAAAGGTAGGAGTGAAAAGGACAAACAGGGAACAAAACATTTTTTGGGGTTGGCTTTGTTTTACACAAGTTAGCTGAAGGAAGTGAAAGCCACTTCATTATCTAAGTTGATTGCTTCTTTTCTCAGATGTTTAGGTGGTTACCTCCTACCTGAAGCTAAAGAAAATCTCCCTGTTCTTATTTTCAAGTTTAAACCCACGATACTGCTAATGTCCTTCTCTGAAGAAAACATGTTTGTCAAGTTATATGTATATTCTAAATGTCTTGCATTTTGGAAAGATCACTTTTTCTAGAAATAGGTGGATTTTAATCTTAAAAATCTCACTGCTCATTTCCAGGAGACACACATGAAGTCTGAATAAGGTAACTGCATGCAACACATGTGAAATTCCTTCCCTATCCCTATTGGTGTAACCCTAGAGTAGGCCTTTTCCTCCTTATTCTGTATCTGCAGACAAGAAAGTAAAAAATTTGAGCTAACTGCTTTGAAGGTAACTCTGCTGGCTATCAGGATGCCCCACACCTGACAGAATACTGTCATACCCTGGTTAACCTGGAAGGACACAAGCCAAATGTAAAATCACACTTAGCTGCTACAGCATTTGTTTACAATGTCTGTGTCAATGATTTATGCTCACACAATAAAATATTAAGAGCAACAAACTATAAACCTGGTAGCACAAGAATTCTAACAGGTTTTCCTTGCAGTGTATCAATTCTGACACTACCCAAGATCCACCAAAGGCACTGCAGATATAATGTGTTGCATTACATAAAATCAAGTACAGAAGCTTAGTTTTATGTAACTGTAATATGCATACAGATGGTCGTCAGGACAAGATATCTAATCTAAACTAGTTTGTACAAAATTTGAAGTATAAGCAGAAGGCAGAAATTCTGCCATTTCTAGTACAGGGTCCTAACTCAATAAAATGGGAAACTCCCTCTATTTGTAGCTCTTATTGGTTCTTCCAATATCAAGAACTTTCTGACACTGAAATCAATTGCAAAGATTTTGAATTAATAGATGAAATTCAAAGAAGTGAATTCTTTTTCATCTATTTTAGCCAAATAGTAGGTAAAAAACTATGGTTATATTAATTGAAATTCAGTTTTTTGTGTTGACAGCAACTATGGCATAAAAATAAAATAAACGAAGTCCACTTTATAAAGATCATCAGTGTCAAATAAAATACAATCTATGATCTCTGAACAATACACAAGGATAAGCCATGCAGTGAAACTATGCAGTCAAACTATTGTTCTTACAAACCATGCCTTCCTAATGCATTCCTTTAGCCAAGCAATGGGAAGATAAACCCATTTGCCTAATGGAGCATATAATTTACATATTTCAGACAAGAACTGACAGAGATGCTGCTTAAAATAATTTTAAGAACCATCCATCCAAATACCTTCCAGGATGAAGACCCCAATATGGTTCACAAGTTATTTTTTCTACACAAACTCCAAACTCTCCAGCCCCTGCAGTTACTTTAGTCACTGCATTTCTTTATTGCAACAAACCTTTTCCTTTTTTTCCGTAGGAGATTTAATACGAGGCTGCATTTTTTCTCTTTTTCAGTGCCTTGCAACATTTCTAAAATCACTAAAATTTTAGATTTTACTACTGCACCATGCAGTCCTGCATAATTTTGTAAACAAAATATGTCTAAATTTATGGAGCCTTAAAGGACTAGTGTACTCAGCAGATTGCAGTACCCTATGCACAGGAAGTTACAATCAGCCAATGTCAATATTCTGTCATTTAGAAGCAGCATTTTTTACTTTAAAGCATTCCCATTAATACAAATCAGCAGAGCTGTTTCCCGCCTCCCCCCCGCAAAACTTGTTTTTGGGGTTTAAGCTATCGGTACAGTAACAGGTCTTCACTTGATAAAAAAAAATCTGCTTAGCTTTTAACATGCTATGAATCACGTTTTGCATTGTGACCTACCTAAAGGCACAACAGTACAGCGTAACAAGCAAAGTGCATGTTGTAAGAATTCCCCCTTTCACACACACAAACAAGTGCCTACATGAAAAAAAAAAGAGAAAAAGCAAGAAAGACAGTCTTTACTATTTCATATTCACTAGAAATGAACATTTCAAAGAGTTTTTCAACTTCTGCAAACGTCAGATTTTAACCGTGGACCTCAATACCGCAGGGAAAGCGAAAACTAAAAAATAACCCCTAAGTCTGGCTTTTAAGTCTGTAATGGATGTCGCGTGTGTGAAAAAATGGGTTAGTTTTGTTTGGTCTTTGCTACAAAGAGGCTCATCTCCTATGCACGCCACAAATAACCTGAGCGATGACTTCCCTCCATGACATGAGCTGCCCATCATACTGCAGGGTTATTACAATGTTGGTTTGTTTAGGGGTTGCTTGTGTCTGTGCCTTGCGTATGTAATTCAGGCATTCGCATACATCAACTCCTCGTTGCGCATCTCACAATAAACTGATGAACGCTGTTAAACCTGAACCAGCAACCTTTAGCAAACAAAGAAGTCTAGCCCGGATTCGTGATGCAAAATCACCTCGAAACGTACTACACCCTGCAAGAACCTCACAGAAAATAGCCCGGCAACCTCATTCATTACCCCCAAGCCAGCGATGTGCTCACCATCTCCGTCTTATTTCTCTGTCCTCAGCTTATTTTCCTTGCTGCTACTGGCTTCAAGGAGGCGGTGTACAAAAAAAAAAAAAAAAAAAAAAAAAAAAGGAGAAACGTTAAAAAAAAATAAAAAATAAAAAGGGGAAAGCCCCCCAACTCTTCAATACACCGCTCGGCAGCCGCTGGGCAGCATGTCAGCCCCTTGTCTTCCTCTCCCGCTCCCCGCGCAGGAGCCGCTCCCGCCGTGCCCGCCCCGCGGGTGCCCGTCCGTCCCCCGCGCGTTCCCCGGGAGAGCGCCCGGGCTGCACCGGCTCCTCCCGCCTGCTCACCCACCGAGGCAGCCGAGTAGTCGGAGCCCGGCTGATTTTCCCCTCCCACCTCCACATTCCTATTTACAAAGGGTATCCAAGACCATCTTTATCCAACGGGGGGGTGGGGGAGGAAGGAGGGGGAGGTGGAAGTACTCATTAACCCTTTTCTTGCATTTACCTTTTCTACTGTGATTTTTGGAACACACGAGGGAATTCCCCTTCTCTACAGAACACATGGACTCGTTGCCATCGGGCCCGCGGGGTCCCCGCTCCCGCACCCGACTTGCCGCTGACGGTGCTCCTGACGGCCCCAAGGCCGTCCTTTTTTCCAGAGAAAAAAGGTCCAAGGGCACAGCTGGAAAACGCGCGCCCTCCCCAAACTATTGCTCGGAAAACAACCGGAGCGGCCCGCGGGGAGACGGGAGCGCACTGCCCGGCTAGACCATGATGCCACCGCCCGCCCACGTCTTTTTGTTTCGGTGTTTTGGTGTTTGGGTTTTTTTATTATTATTTGTTTGGGGTTATTTTTCCCCGACCAGGGCACATTCCTGAACACTCGCACCTGGGGGCAGGAGTGCGGGAGGCGTGAGGGGCCGCGCGCCGTGCCCGCGCCGCCGACCCCCGCGCGCGCCTGCCACTCGCGGCCGCACGCGAACCGGCGCGCGCCTCCCGCGCCGCGAATTTTCCCATTGGGCGGCGCCGCTGCGATCGCGCCCGGCAACCGGAGCGCCATTGGCGCGGGCCCGCCCCGCCGCCGCGCGCTGCCCGCCGCGCCCCGCGCCATTGGCCCGCGGGCCTGTCCGTCACAGCGCGGCGGCCCCGCCCCCGGCGCGCGGCGGGCGTGTCCGGAGGAGCGGCCGCAGCGCGGGGCGGGAGCAGGAGCGGGGCCGCGCTGCCCGTGTGGGACAGGCGGGCGATGGCGGTGTCTGCTGGGCAGGAGCGACAGGGACCCTTCTGTCACCTCCCTGCAGGCCTACGCGGCCCGCCCCGCTGTGCGGCTGGAGGGTTTCTGCGCTCGGGAATGAACGCTGCCTTGCACAGATGTTCGCCCGGAGGTTGCGGGCCCAGCTGGTGGCTGAAGTGCTGTGGCACGGGGCCCGTCAGGTGCAGCGCAGCCAGGTAATGCTGGCACGCGATCCGCATGGATTTGTCTAACTTGACCTTCTCGCCGTTTGCAGCGGTCTGTGAGCTGCCATCGTCACCTCTCAGCTTTGTCTTTGGTAACCTGGATAGCTTAAGCTTCCTACGCCCCTATTTTATATCGTGTTATCCCTGTCAGTAATGTTCCTTCTTGGAATAATTTCCTGTGTTTTCCCTTCCTCCCTCACCATGGGTGCCAGAAATGGTGCAGCGTTCCAGTGTCCCTGTCCTGTGGACAAAGACAGTGTCACTTCCTCGTGCTCCCCTATATATTCTGTATTCTATACAGTAAATGGTTAGAGTAGTGCAGTTTACCACAGTAATACCCTGAGAGGTCACCCTGAAACAGTAACAACTAAATTCTTTTTTTGAGGTACTTTTTGCCATGCTAGTTCCATCCCTGCATTCTTTATTTCCAGATGCATTTCCTCAAATTTTATGTTATTAAAAATGCAATTTACTGGACTGGGATTATTTACTTGGCACATCAGATGATTTTGTAACCAGCTGTGAATTATCCACTCATTTATTAGGGTACAAAATTTACTAACAAATACCTTGCATCATCTAGACAATTGATAGACATATCAAACTAGATCTGACCAAGAACTCATCTCTGGAAAACTGTCACAGTCCCTGATGCCTCATCTTTAAAGCTGCTTTTTGAGACCTCTCAGGGAAAAGATATTTATTCCATCTAAAGCGTGCTTTATGCATTCCAAATAATATGCATTCCAGCACTCGAAGAACAAACTCTTTAAATGAATGTCAAGACTATTTCTCTTTTAAGTTTTTGAAACCAACTCAGGACAATTCTGCAAGTCTTTCATTAAGCTTCTGCTTGTATTTTAACTTTCTCCAAGAGAGGTTCTGCCCTGACAGTACCAATCTCTTAAAGTGGATACAGAATCAGAGCCTGCTTGAGATCAGTCTATTCAACTTTGACAAACAATGGGAGCTATACACTGATCGCCTAAGACAGGGTCTAGAAGGGGCAACAATAACCAAGCTGGTTTAGGCAGAACAAAAGGTAGACACAAGAATAAAAGGAAGAGTCAGAATGGTCACCAAATCCAGTATTCACAAATTCTTTCTGTGGACTTATTTTGTGCAGCCTCCTAGAAGGCTTTTTAAATGACTCTGAACTTATTCTTACTTCCCATATGTATTAAAAATAGAAAAAAAGGTCAGTAAAAAACACCATTAAGTTTTAAGTCTATTACACTTTCTTCTTTTCATAGACATGACTGCTGCTTAAAGTATGCAGATTATCATCTGAAGATTTTAAATGGGTATCTGGCATAGAAGCTAAACAATCTTTGGTCACAGTGATGAGTCTATACTTTGAGACTCAGAGTGCCAAAAAGAACAATCCATTACATTTAACGTGCTTGCATTTTACCAATTTCAATGTAACAGAGATTTGTATAATTTGTCTATTTAGTCATCAGATAACTGCTTTAAATAACAACTCTGTATCTGAAAGCATAAATACATGCTAGGTTTATATGTCTCAAGGTAATAACTGCAATCTATTATTGTGTTTCAGAAGCAGTAGTACAAAGAATGATGATCATACACTCACACAGTAATTTTCATCAGTGGATCTCGAGAGACCTTGTGAAGGTCAATGCGATCATCCCATTGTTGGTGATGAAGAAGGAAAGCATTGAGATGAACTTGCTCAATGTCATATGCCAGAACAGTGCTAAAGCTGACAATTGACTTCAGGTTTTCTGTAGCCAGGATGAAAGATTTTACCTTGCAAGCTGCCTATCACATCCATTTACCCTTGGGAATTATTTTAATTACTGTTTCACATCTTGTATGTATTGTGTTTATCAGTGTTAGAATGTGGAAGAGCTCTCCAGGCTTTTATGGTGTTTCCCTACAGGCTTCACTATAAAACATTTCGTAATTTACAGGCTCCACTGAAAGCCTCTATGGCCACCCATGAAAAAAGTCAGAAATAAAGGTTTTGTTTGAGAAATGAAATATTAATATTTCAGTAGGACAAAAAGGTTACACAGATTCAATCCCAACCAAAATCTACAGATCTAGGTAAAATTACTAGATGTTTGGTTATCAGTTCTGATCATGCTGTGCTAATAACTGAAAGCAAATTCGACATTGTCAGTTGTGTTTTCCTCAATGCTCAGGAAAGCTGTCCTAGCTGGAATTCATCCCAATGCAAGCTCAGGACTCAGTGATTTTGGGGCCTTCCTGGAAGCAGAGTCTCTGCTGAAGGTGGTCAGGGGAGCAGCATCCCACACAGGGGCCTTTGTGGACACACACATTTAGAGAGCTAGGGAATTACAGCTTGAAAATTCTTTTTCAGCCTGAACTTCTCCTGACTCAGGTCCATTCCCAGACTGATAAGCTGACTATGGCTTCAGTTAGGGAGAAAGTCTCCCAGGATAATAATATGGTGAAAAACAGAATAGAATTCATAATAAAGATTAACACCTGGTGTTTTTCTCGTGGGACACATCCTGAGGTACAGTCTCATGGATGTTTTTCCCGATTGTCTAATGAGCTACTGTCCTGTCCTAGCTCTGTGTAATATGCTTTAAATACAGGCTGTCCGTTCAATAAAGTTAACCTTTTTTCCCTACAGAAGTCCATGTGTGTTGCTGTTCTTGCTCTCTCTCTCTTTCTCTTTTTCAAGCTCAGTAACCACAGGCCTTGTTCTGAGGGGTCAGGAGCTATATCCAAGCCCACTAAGATTGTCAACAGCCTGGGTGTATCTGTCCTCAAAGGTATGAGTGCTGTGAAGCTCAGATCAGGCATGTAATGTTATTATCTCACACCTTCATAGAATCACAGAATCAGCAAGGTGAGAAGATCATGACCTTTAAGATCATGAAGTCCAACCTCATTACCACTGTAACCTCCATAAACCACTAAACCGCATTACCAGATCTTAAACACCTCCAAGGATAGCGGCTCTGTCACCTCCCTGGGCAATCTGTTCCAATGCCTGCCCACCCTAACAGTGAAAAAAAAAAATTCTGCTACCCGAGCTTCTCGTCTCTGCTTGAAACCAGATACACTGTGGCAGCAGGCTGAGGCAGCCAAGAAGCAGCTCAAGCATTGTGCAGTGACTCCCCAATGCACTGGGGGATGCCGGGCAGTGTCACACCGGCCCCTCACACACAGCCGCGGGTGCAGGGCCCGCGGGCCCCGGCCACGGGAAGGTGTCGGTGCCGGCGCGCCCCGGGCACGGGGGCACAGGGAAGGTGTCGGTACCGGCAGGTCCCGGGCACAGGGGCACAGGGAAGGTGTCGGTACCGGCAGTGCCGGCGGGAGGAGCAGCCGGGCCCGGCCCCCGGAGGGGCGGTGTTGCTCGGCCCGGCCCCCTCCGGAAGCGGCGCGGGGGACGCGCGGTGCGGCGGCCGTGGGTGAGTGAGGGAGGCGAGGGAGGGAGCGAGTGAGGGGCTGGAGGTCACCGTGCCTGCAGGGCGGGCTCGGACACAGCCCGGGGGCGCCTCCGCTGCCCCGGCAGCCGGGAGCTGACGGGCTCCTGGTTTGGGGGGCTGTGTGTGCCGTTCCTGGCCACCGCCACAGCCCCGGCCCTCCCCGCCAGAGAAGGTGCTGCTCCCGAGCGCCATTTG